AGACATGACACACAAATTTTTAAAGAATATTTATTAAGGTAGATGATTGCAAAGATTAGATGGGACTATATTATAAAAAATATTGTCAGTAGCATTCTGATACACCATGTTATCAACCACATGGAAAAGTTAAAGGGAAATCATTTCTTTATCTCACTAAAAGCATCGAAACTTAGAAATAGCCTTTGGAAATAGTCATAAACTTGATAAAGAAAATTAGGGAACTCTACATGATAGTATCATAGAAAGACTCAAGGAAACAGAAAGATGTGCCTTGAAAAACAAGATCAATGTTTTAAAAGAAGTTAGTTCTGTTTAAGTTTGTTCTATCTGCATTATGCCATCAATAATGAAAAAAATTTCTTGCGAATATTGTAAAGAATCTGGTAAATCATTTTAAATTTTACTTTTAATAAGTCTCATCCTATAAGAGCAGCTGGAAGAAAACTAAAAACAAAAATACTAAGAAAGAACATTGCCTTAGCTGATGTGCTATAAATGAAAAACATATGTCACTGAGTCAAGGTATCAGTCCTCAGACCAAACTATGTTTAGGGGTTTAAAGTTCAGGAAAACACTGGTCTTTGAATCAATGTGTTGTGTTTTTTTTTAAATAGTGTGTTTAGCACATTTATGAAACGATATCCAGTGTGCAACCATTTAAGAAGAAATGACATTCCTATAATGCCATTTATTTTTTACTTGCTTATTTTCTATTTTAAATTTTATTCAGTGTACATCTTCATGTATAAGTACAGATATTTATTTTGTAATTTTCAGGAGTAGATTATAAGTACATCACTTTCTCTCTTCATTTTCAGAACTCCTTCCAGCCCTACTCATGTACCCTTCCTTGCTGTCTCTCAAATTCATGTTGTCTGTGTCTTTAATTGTTACATATATTTATAAATACATACATACAGCTTGTTCAGTCCTTATAATGTTACTTGTATGCATATAATTTCAGGGCTGGCATTTTAGTATTTCATAACCAGCTGGGGATGCTCTTCCCTGGCAAAGACTATCTCTCCTGCTCTCGGCTTTGCTTTGTTACCTGTGGTTCTTTATCTAGGGTTGAGGCTTCCTTCATAAGCTTACTCCCTTCCTTGTCAGCACATCTACTGGTCTTGTCCTTGTTCAGGCCATGTCTAGGCAGTCATGTTAGTGAATCTTCATAGGGTAGTTTCTCCGATGTTTCTAGGAGAGAATCTCACAGCCAAGTGCCTCTCCCTCTGACTCTTATAGCCTTCCCAACCCCTCTTCTGCTATGATCCCTGAGCCTTGTAGATTTATCAGATAACAAACTACTTTTAGGGAAAGCGCCACTAGGGTAATTTCTTGGTGAATTCATCCAGGAACCTTCCTAATTAATATGAATGTTGATTCATTTCTAACTAATTAATGACACATGTATGAGAAGTCTTCACAAATTTGTTCTTTTTGTATGATAGTTTATGTTTTCTTTTTTATAGTGATTATGTAACTTGGTTAAAGCTTTTATCTTCTGGGGATTCATTTTCTTTTTGTTCTTGTGAACTTAAATCACTTTTTAACACATTCTACATCTTAATAGAAGTATGAGCACTATGGGAATAATTTATGGCAGCTTTGGTAAAAAGTGGCTCCTGCACTTATGAAAGAATGAGTATGGGATTTGCTAGAAATAGTTACATGCATGCTGGGGAAGAGGAGAGACATGTGCCTCAATTCTGTTATAACACATTCCTTTCCTGTGGGGAAGAACAAAAATGTTGTGTTCTGTTAAAATGTGTTACGTACAAGGTAGGGTTCTCATACCTCTTTCCCATCTACAAGCAAACTCGTACAATTGCTGAGGCAGAGTTAAAGCAGTAAGAACCAGGACTTGAAGCACAGACAGAAAGAGGTACAAGTATAGGTGATGCTGTAATTAAAACTATCTGGGACTGACTGACTGCTCTTAGTAATCATATAGATGCATTTCCCTCTAGGATTCCTATAGGGGCTGTTTTTTCTCCACTCTACTAAAATTGGGGCTTTTATAGTTGGAAGGCATCCACTACAGCATACATACAGAATGTATGCACAGTTCATTAACATTATGGGTCGGACAACTTAACTTTTGAAGTTACTTCACAATCTCTACAAACTGAAGATTCATGCTTATCACCTGTATTCCTTCATTGAGATAATTTTTTAGCATTGAATGTTATTTATTTTTGTGGTTTTTACCTTTTTTATCTGTGTATGTGTGTGAGTGTGTGTATGAGTGTGGATGCATGCACACACTGTGTGCATAACGGTGTGCTTATGAAGAAAACTCCAAGGACTTACTTTTCTCCTCTTATATGGGCCATGTGGCTCAAACTCAGATCTTCAGGTTTGGTGCGCATACCTTTACCTACTGAACCATCTCACCAGCTTGTGAATTATACTTCTGTCATTTTCGTGTGGTGTGCATCTGATTGACTTCAACTTTCTGTGGGCTGTCGACCTTTTGAACAGGTTATTTTTGTTACAGCTGATGGGGGTGGTGTTCTTGGAGAACCTCAGGGATAATGACATTGCAGGTATGTCACCAGTCAGTTTGCTGAGGGATCCTTTGATCTACCTAGATAGATAATGGGTGGTTTAGAATCACTGCAAATACTGGTTTCCAGTCTTTCATTTTCCTTACCGTTTGGCATCAGTGACTGGTGGCATTAGGCAGGAAGAAATCGCAGCAGGCTGCACTCTCTAAAACTACAGTCCCAATGCATGCCTTGGGTATCTGGATCAGTACTAGATTTGTAGTCTCTGTGAGGGCTTCAGACTATCAAGACCTTTGCAGCCATAGAAGTCACATACTCTACATCTCCATATAGGCTGATGGTACTTGTCAAAGCACCGTGGTCCTTGTAGATGGCAGTTGTTACAGTTCCCAGTCCAGGATCTGAAGCTCTTGGCCCCAAAGAATTGGTTTCAAAAGCCTCTAGGAAGTGATGTTAGAAAGCAACTTTGCTCTCTGGAGTTTCAGTATGGTTTACAGAGAATAAATGCTTTGCTAGCTGGCAAAGCCTTGGATCAGGGTTTCACAGTGCATTAGAGGATGCTGATAGACCCTCTACCTGGGTAAAAATAAACTATAAACTATAAATTTGCTCAGTTGTTTTATAGGGCATGTTCCAACACAATTTAAGCTTATCTGCCATCAAATATCTTTTAAATGGTGAAGGTATGTATAAATGAGCTCATTTATTGGGGATGATTGAGTAGGGAAGGATTGTATGCCATTTCTGTCACCATGCATGTCTAATTCAGCTGGACTGAAATGTGCATCTTTTTGTGATGGGATTAACATTTAGATGCTATGCTAGTTGTACATGTGATGGTGTTTCTGGATCTCATACTTCTCTCATTTCGTGGGATAGGTAGACTTCATGCTGCATTTACAAAAAAACAAGTAGCAGATCTGGTTCTCTCTAGACTGTCATCTATTAGTTAATGTGAAGTTAAAAGATGGAAAGTGTGTTGCTGTGTGTGTTCATACGTGTGTGTGTTGTCTCTGTGTGTTTCTGCTTGTAGGCACAATTTTGGCTGTCACATGTGGCTTTTTGCTTTGTTGGGCTTCACACATTTTCTTGTAGAAAATGTTTATTAGGTTTTTAATTTTTTCTCATTTTTTTCCAAATGCATTTGCTATGTTTTCCTGTGTGTCAACAGGCCTTCTTTCTTGAGCATTGCTGACAAGACAATCTCCTTTTCAATGCAACCCAATGCCCTAGTAGAAAATATTGTGGGTAATCATCCAAAAGTTGGATGATCTTAAGGAAGTAGTTGGACTTCCAGGTCTCCCTGTCTTCCCTGGGCATAGCGGCGGTGCGTCAGGGATTGCCATGCAGGGTTTAAAGATGATGTCACTCTAATGAGGACACTGCTCCATTGTGGGAGGAGACAATGTGGGCTGCTCCTGCTGCTGCTGCAGCCCCAGCCAAGGCTGAAGCCAAGGAAGAGTCAGAGAAATCAGATGAGGAGATGGGATTTGGTCTCTTTAACTGATCCCTCAGAACAACCAACTCAGCCTATTCAATTTAAAAAACATGGAAATAAAAGCTTACCTCTGTTAAAAAAGAAAATGTTTTGGTTATTATTTATGTGAATAATTATAGGGATTACTCCTATATTTTATCAAATTATAGAAAGCTTAACATTTTTTACTTGAGGGTTTTGATCTCAATAAAATGTTACCTGAGTCCAGTGCTTTGCTCTGAAGTCTGTATGTAGTGTATGTATTTAGCTTTACAGTGAAGTGCTTACTTGCATGCATGAGGCCTTGGGCTTGATGTTAACCAGTGACTTAGAATTATTGTGAGAATAAGGGCTAGATTGTTTCTCCATGTTTCCTCACAATGTATTAATTTATAAACCAAAGACTTTAGACAGAAGCACTTAAAATGTAAGTAAGGAAATAAATGGTACATTTTAATTATATTTTACTTCAGAAATATTTTGTTTGTTTGTTTGTTTTTTCAGGACAGGGCTTCTCTGTGGCTTTGGAAGCTGTCCTGGAACTAGCTGTTGTAGACCAGCATGGTCTTGAACTCATAGAGATCAGCCTGCCTCTGTCTCCCGCGTGCTGGAATAAAAGGTGTGCACCACCACTTCCCGGCCCAGAAATATTTTTAAATAAAATTTTATTAGCTAATAGTCAATGTACATACTGATGGGTTTTATTAAGACTTTATCATGCAAATATCTATACTTTGGCTATATTTGCCATTCCCATTTCTCTCGCCTTCTAGACTTACTATGTGGTTTGAATGAAAATGGCCCCCATAGGCTCATAGGGAGTGTCACTATTGGGAGGTGTGGCCTTGTTGGCATGGGTGTAGCCTTGTTGGTGTCACTGTGGGTGGGCTTTGAGGGTTTAGATGCTCAAGCCAGGCCCAGTGTAGCTCACTGTCTCTTCCTGCTATCTGCAGATCCAGATGTAGAACTCTCAGCTATGTCTCCAGCACCTTGTCTGCCTGCATGCCACCATGTCCTGCCATGACAATAATGGACTAAACCTCTGAACTGTAAGTCAGAACTAATTAACTGTTCTTTTTATAAGAGTTGCTGTGGTCATGGTGTCTCTTCAGAGCAATAGAAACCCTAAGACACTCACCATTACCGTTCATTCCCCCAGTATGACTTTAGTTTTCATTACTCTCATGTGCATGCCTGAGTGCATATGTGTATGTGTGTGAGTGTGTGAGTGTGTGAGTGTGTGAGTGTGTATGTGTGTGTGTGTGTATGTGTGTGCGTGCACACATGGGCACACATAAGCTCGTGGGCATGTGTACATAATTCTGGATGCAAAGAAGAGAGAAAATGCTCAGTGTTTGTCTTTCTGAGTCTGACTTATCTCACCCAATATGATGAGTACCCAGTTGTGTACATTTTCCTGTTTATTCTGTATATATACATATCACATTTTCTTTACCTGTTTACAAGTTTATGGACACCAGGACTGATTTCATAATTTAACTATTTTGAATAATGCTGTAGTCAAAAATCAGCAGTGTATAAAGGTAGCCTGTCCTTGGATTCTCACCAGCATGTGTTATTCATTTCTTTTCTTAATGATAGTACTTCTGGTTGGGAACTCAATGTGCTGTTAATTTGTATTTCACTCACATCTAAAAAATAAATTTTTTTCATGTTTATTGGCCATTTGTACTTTGTCTTTTGAGAACGGTCTGTTTACTTCCTTAAACCGTTTATTGGCTGGATATTTGGTTTCTTGGTATTGTTTTGAGTTTCAAATCCTAGCTACTAGTCCTCTGGGAGATGTGTATTTGGCAAAGTCTTTTGTTGAATGTTGTAGGCTGTTCTGAACTCTTGGTGTCCTTTAGAGATGACACTTGCATGTCTTTCAGTTTGAAGCATTTTCCCTGGGTTTTCTTTTAGCAGTTCAGAGTTTCATGTTGTGATGGTTAGTTTTAACTGTCAACTTGACATATCCTAGAACTACCTGAGCAGAGGATGGTAATGAGGAATTGTCTAGACCAGCTTGGCCTGTGGGCATGTCTGTGGGATATTGTCTTGATTGTCAATGGCTGTGAGAAAGCCTGTCTATCATGGGAGGCACCATTCCCTAGCCAGGGTATCCTGAACAGTGTGACAGAGAGGACAAAGGTAGCTGAGATCTAGCAAATAAGTGAAGGCCCATGCATGTGTTCCCTCTCTGCTATGGAATGTGGATACAGTGCTTTAGGAGCGTTTGACTTCACTCAAATCATAGACTGTATCCTGGAAATGAAAGGCCAGCTTTTACCTTCTTCCACTCTATTGCTTCACTCAGATTTTACTTTATCACAACAACAGAAATGAAGCCAGGACACATATCTTGCATTAGTATGTTTCACCCATTTTGTGTTGGTTTTTATATCTGGTATCATACTTCTCCAGAGAATATCAATTTTGAAATGTCTGTCTTTTCTTCAATGTATACTTTTGACTTCTTAAAATTCACGTGGCTATTAGCTACATATGTTTATTTCTGTAGCTGCTATTCTATTCTTTGATCTACCTGTCTGTTTTGGTATAAATACCATGCTATTGTTATTATTATCATCATCATCATCTTACAACAGTTCTGTGGTATAGATATTAAAATAAAGTCTTGTTATATATAGAATTGTTTTTTTGCTTAGGATTACTTTGTCTGTTCTGAATCTTTTTTGTGTGTGTTTCTGTATGACTTAGATTTTTTTCAAGTTCTGTAGAGAATATCATTGGAATTTTGATGAAAATTCAATAAATTTTTCAGAGATTGTCACTTATATAGATGTTTTCACAGCATTAATTCTGCCAGTCTATGAGCATGAGTGATCTTTCTATCTTCTAGGGTCTTCTTCAATTTATTTCTCCATTATTTTCAAAATTCCATTGTTGTGGTCATTTATTTCCTTGGTTGGGTTTATGTCAAGATATTTTATTTTAATTTGAAGGTGTTGTGAGGGGGATTATTTCCCTTACTACTGTCTCAGCATGGGTATTATTGGTATTAGGAAGGCTTGTGCATTTTGTATGTTGACTTTGTATTTTATTACTTTATTATTGGTGTTGTAAGATTAATAATTTTCTGGTGCATTTAGGATATTTTAAATATGGAACATATCTTGTGAAAATAGGAATAATCTAAAATCTTCCTTTCCAACTTGTATCATTTGTATTTTGTTCTTTTATCTAATTTCTCCAGATAAGACTTTAAGCAGTAAGTTAAAAGGAGTGAAGATAGTGAGCAAGACACTCTTGCTCTGATTTTAGTGGGAATACTTTGAATTACTCCCCATTAAGAATAATATTTGGTACAAGTTTTGCATATATAACATTTATTATACACTGAGGTATATGTCTTCTTTTCTTGATTTTGTCAGGATTTTTATCATAAAGAGATGTCAGACTTTGTCATAGGTCTTTGCTATATCTATTGATAGGATCATATGATTCTGATTTTGAATCTGCTTATTTGAAGAATTTTATGTATAGATTTTTCACAAATTGGTTCATCTTTGTATGCATAGAAGTCAGCTAACCTGATTATAGTGAATTAGATCTTTGCTGTATTGTTGAATTGGGTTTGATAGTAGCATGTATGTATGCATGTATGTATGTATGTATGTCTGTATGTATGTATATATGTATGTATTTTGAGACAAGGTCTCTTTATGTAGCTCTTGCAAGCTTAGAATTCTCTGTATAGATCATGATATCCTTTAACTCACAGAGATCCACATGCCCATGCCCCCAAATATTGGGATTAAAGGCATGCACCACTATGTGTGGCTACCAGCATTGTAAAATTTTTAATTAACCTATTTTATATGTATGAGTGTTTTGCCTGTATTATACCTTTGCATAATGTGTGTGCCTAGTGTCTGTGGAGTCTAGAAGAGGGTGTTAGACCCTTGGACTGGGGTTACAAATAGTTTTGAGTCACCATGTGGATGTTCACAATCAAACATGGATCTTCTGGAAGAGCAACCAGTGCAAGAGACATTCCTTAATCAGTGAGCCATCCCTACAGCTCCATGCCAGTATTTTTCAAAAAATTAATTTTGTGTTCATTTTCATTAGGGAGAAATGATTATAGTTTATTTTGTTGTGTGGGTATGGCTGTTATTTATTTATTTGCTTTGGTTTTGATATAAGGGTAGTACTATATTAATAAAATAAGTTAGCGTTCAGTATATATTTTGCAGGACATAGATTTTAGATATTTTTTGGTAAATATGACTTAATTAAATTAAAATTCATAAGTTAGATATTAGGATTGATACACCTGCTTGTTTCTTAGGTTCATTTGACTGGAAAATCTTTTCCCAACCTTTGCTGCTCTTAATATTCTTTCTTTATTCTGTATGTTTGGGGTTTTGATTATTATGTGGCAAGGGGACTTTTTTATGTGGTCTACTCTATTTGGTGCTCTGTAAGCATCTTATACTTTGATTGTCATGTCTTTCTTTACGTTGGGAAAGTTTGGCTGTAGATATTTTTTAAAGATCTTGTTGAATTCATCAGTGAATCTATCTGAGTCAGGTTATTTTAGTAGGGGGAACTGTTAGATCACTCCAATATTGTATGTTTTAAATCTCTTTGTTTATTTCTTCTTGGTTTAATTGGTGGTTACACATGTCTAGAAATTTATCAATTTCTTTTAGATTTCTCAGTTTATTAGAATATAGTTTTTTAAAATGATTTCCTAGTAATCTGATCTTGGTATCTTTTAAAATGTGTCCCTTTTGCCTAATTTCATAAATTGAGCAATTTACCTAAGGGTTTACAATTTAGTTTATCATTTTACAGACCCTACTACTTAAGTAATTGACCCTTTGTATTTTTCTTTATATTGATTTCTGCTCTGATCCTTCTTTTCATCTCCTGATTTTGGATTGAGCTTGTTCTTCTTTTACTAGGATTGAGACATAGTATTAGATTTTTTCTTTTGGGATCTAATTTCTTAAATGCTGACATTTTAACAGATTATCTATCTATCTGCTATCTGTTTATCTGCCTGTCATCTGTCTGTCTTTCTGTCATTTATCTACCATCTATCTCTCTATCTCTATCATCTATATGTCTATATTTATTAAATCCATTAGATTTATAATGCCATTTAACTGAGTTATTTCTTTGCTGATTTTTTTTGTCTAGATGATTCGTGTATTGGTGAAGATGGGGTATTCAAGGCATCAACCATTACAGTATTGAAATCAATGTGCACCTTTACACATGGTAAGGCTTTGGTTTGTCTTTTTTTTATTGAAATTGGGTTTACTGATGTTCCCTTAATCATTATGAACTGATTTTATTTGCATCTTCTGACGAATTGTGATTTGAAGTCTAAGTTTTCCATTACTAATGTGGCTACATCTTGGTTACTGCTGTTATTATCTGATTTTTCCTATTTCCCTTTCCTTGTAATGCCCTTTTCCATTCTTTCAAACTAAGGCAATTTTAGTCTTGACTAATAAGCTTTGTTTCTTTTGTGTAGCAAATACATGGGTCCTGTTTCTTAACCCAATTTCCTAGTCTGTGCCATTTGATTGGGGTATTGAGGCCATCTTACTATTTGGAGTTATTGTTGATAGTTATTAATTCCTAACATTTCGCTCTTTTTGTAATGTTTGGCATTTTTCTAATCCTAGTTTGCATATAGGGTATTATACTACAGTTTATTCTTTCTCATAGCCTCGTGAGTGTATTCATTTACCTTTTTAGTATGTAGAATTCTTCATATATTTTCAGTGGTGCTCCCATAGTGGTAATAAATTACTTTAGTTTTTGTTTATCTCAAGGTTTTTCTTTCTCCTCCAATTATGATGGATAGTCTTGGTTTATATAGAGATTTGGTTTGGCAGTTACTGTGTTTCCAAGCTTGAAATACATCACTCCACGGTCTTCTTTCAGAGTTTCTGTGGAGAAATTTGCTATTATTCTAATGGGTTTGCTTTTGTGTGACTTGATAATATTGTCTTGTGACTTCCAAAGTAGTTTCTTTGTTCTGTATACTTTTTCTCCATGGTCTTATCTGTTTGGAATTCTAAAGGCTTCTAGTATCTGCATAGCCATCTTTTTCTCTAGATTTGGATTTCCTTTTGCTTTTGTTTTATTGAATATACTTTTTATCTTGTACTTTTTCTCTTTCTGTGCTCATGACTCATATACTTGGTCTCATAATGGTGTATTGTAAATCTTGTATGTTCTGGTTATAAATTATCATTATTGAATCTATGTTATGTGAACACTGTAATTCCCACACACTTTTCTTCAGGCCCAGATATTCCACCTTCTTTCAGATATGCTCTATTTTTCAATGAAGTTTTTACTTGGCTAACTGAGGTTTCCATTTTAAATTTGTTATTTTTATTTCAGTATTTCTATATGCTGACTAACTTCCTCTTTCTATATTGTATTGACATGTTTACTTCATGCAGCTGCTTATTTGTTTTATCTATGACTTTATTCAGGAGGCTAGTTGTATTTTATTTCATTTTTTCAATATTCTGAAATGTCTTATCATAATTATTTTTAATATTTATCTGTTACTTCATCCAGTTCACTCTCATTAGAATCAAATACTATGGAACTGATCATTTTCCCAGGAGCTGTGATGCCTTGAGTATTGATAATTCTTGCACTGGGATTTTTCACATCTGGGATTAGGTTATAGGGTAGATTTTATTTTTAAATGTCTTCCCTTTTCCAGTTGAAAACTTTTCAGTGTTTTATTGGGACTGGATGGTGGTAGGGTTGAGGTCTTGTTAGTCCCCCCCACATCCCCGGACTTAGAGTGTATGCAGGCTAGTATCTACACTTCCAGATGAGTGTATGCAGGCTAGTATCTACACTTCCAGATGAGTGTATGCAGGCTAGTATCTACACTTCCAGATGAGTGTATGCAGGCTAGTATCTACACTTCCAGATGAGTGTATGCAGGCTAGTATCTACACTTCCAGATGATGTGCTCAGGGCATTGCACATGAGTCAGCACCATTCTGAGAGTAGAATATTAGCAGAAGGAACAACCCGCACTGAGGAGAGTTCCATCTCATGTGGAAGGTGCCCATTTTTTTCCTTTGATGATAAAAGAATTGCATTTTCCTTCTGATTAATTCACACATTTTGTTGCCACTCACACATTTTGCTATTCTGCACAAGAGGGTAGTATAAATAACTAGTTAGGATAAAGTTAGCTGTGTTATTTAAAACATAGTCCATAAACAGACTCAGCATATCTGTATGTTTGTGCTGGTATTTCCCATGGAAGGCTAAATGTTTGGCTTTTAATGGACTGAAATATAGCCCCTGTGAATGAAAGGGTACAAGATGTCAGTGAAGAGCAAAACGGAGCTGGTGCAGGCTTAGTCTGTGTGTCTTTCAGGGAAGGTTAGCATACCTAGTGTTATAATGCTTCATGCAAAACAAAATCCTGCAGTTGAACTGTTGTTAGTACATTGCTTTAAAATTGTAAATGTGATTTCATATTTTAATCACATTCTTCTGCAGCCATTTATGTCTATGCCTTCTGTTAGATTGGTTAAGATCACAATTGAGAGCCAAGAGAGGGGTTGCTACAACTTGGTGTGCAGCACATCTGCTCTCCAGGTAAACAGAAAAGATGCACTTTATTTTCTATCTTGGGTCCCATACCTGCAGACTTATAGCAAGAGACAAATTAATATAAGAGGGCAAACAAACTTACCTATGGGAGTTTCATGTGTTACTGGTTACTTCAGAATTACAGACCCAAAGAAAAAAGGAACACACACACACACACACACACACACACACACACACACACACACAGACCTGAAAGTAACAGTATTTTAAACCAGGAGCTTGTCACTAAACTAACTCATGGATACACTTGTATTATTCTAACAAATATAAAATTTAATAAAAAATAGTAATACATACCCATTAAAGATAACTTTAACAATACAGCAAGGCATAAGGAAAGAATGGCAATAATAGTTAATGCCACTTTTTTCTCCAGCTTAAATTAAAAGAAGATTACATGTCCATATGTTGTCTAATGTCTTGGGATTCTTCCTCTCTCAGGAGCCCATTAGACACTCAGAACTTAGTGAGAAGAGGTTGGGTATCAAAACCATCCATGGTTGTTATTCCTGTTACTAGTTTATTCCATACCCTTGCTTTGCATTGCTGCTCTCTCTCAAGGCATGAACGCATGAGGAACTGAACTATTACCTCAGTCTAGGTTGCCATTCCTGGAGTTCAAAGTTTACAGTTCATCTTCATTTCTCTTCACATATATATCTCCCTTATGTTGGGCAAAAGCAGAGAAATTTAAAACTTATATGGCATTTGCTTGGACTTTGGTGTAAGCAATTTATTCTCCACATTAATAATTTATAGTTGTTATAAATTATTATATATCATCATTATAAATTAATTTATAATGATAATTTCTCATTTCTTCAAGTACACTGAGATGGAATTGGAGTAATTTAAACTAAGTTATATGTCAACAAAATGCTTATGTGATGAAGGGTATATCAATATCAAACAAAGTCAAAAGCTTGTGGTTGGATAGGTCAGTGCATCAAGGGAAAGTTTATTCTGGTTCTAGAAGGAACCTTCCTCTGAACCTGTCTGAACTGTAACATTATGATAAAGCAGTTTGATAACTAAAGTGGCTGTTTGAGTGAATCCAAAGACACTACCTAGAGACTGCTAAGTGTGGGAGGCATTGAGGAGGTGCTGTCCAGGCACATTCGGTAGCAAAATCAGCTCTACACCACTCATCACGTCACAGCAACACAGAGTGTAAAGAGAAGCTTTTTCCTTGAGAGAAGCCTTCCCGCCAGCCTGGTTCTAGAGCCGCATGAGTCCCAAATAAACACACAGGAGGCTATATTAATTATGAAGCTGTTGGTCTTACTTGTTTCTTACTGGCTAGCTCTGACTTAAATAATTACCCCATAATTGCTAATCTAAGTATTTCTCTTACCGGAGAGGTTTCCGGGCTTCCTACCCCATGGCGTTACATCTCGACTCTCTTGTGTTTCTCCTTCCCAGAGTCCTCCTGGACTCCTAGTCCCACCTATCTAGATTCCTATTGGCTCAACAGTGCTTTATTGACATAAGACTTCCCCAACAACAGAGGCTCTGCAAGACAGTGAAGGAGGATAGCTGCTATAGCTATACACAGTTTAGAAGGGTACATTTAGTTCTGAGTCTATTAGAAAGATCAAAACAACTTTTATTGATCAGAATGAATCATGGGCACAGTTAGAATACTGTAAATAGGGTACAGAATAAAAAAAGTATATATGGAGATTCAGAGTTGTCCTTTGCAATTTACTGCATGGTGACATTTCAGGGCAAGCTAGGAAGGAGTACACTGCTATTTACGTATTAATAACGATTGGATTGGCAATATGCAAAACTTTATATTGGGGGTATTTTTAATTAATTATTTATTTTTAGTTAATTATTTAGTTTATTTTTAGTTAATTAAAGCATTTTTCAGAATTACAACTTTAAAAATGGAAATAGATGCTCTAAGTTGCTCTAAAGGTAAGCATGTTGGTTTGAATAAGAATGTTTCCAATAGGTTTATATCTTTGAATGCTTAGTCACCAAGGAGTGGAAATGTTTGAAAAGGTTAGAAGGATTAGGATGTATGGTCTTGTTGGAGGAAGTGTGCTGTTTTGGGTGGGCTTTCTGGTTTCAAAAGCCCCCTCCAGGCCAAGGCTCTCTTTCTCTTTGTCTGACTACTGACTGAAGATCAGGATATAAAGCTACAAACTATTTCTCCTGCACTATGCCTGCCTGCATGCCTTTATGTTTCCAACCTTGGTGATAATGGATTCTAAGCCTCTGAAACTGAAAGCAAGCCCCTAATTAAATACTTCCCTTTATTAGAGTTGCCTTGCTCATGGTGACCCTTCATAGCAGCAGAACAGTGACTAAGATAGTAAAGCATGAGAAAAAGAGATATATCCCATCTTCGAATCTAGTCCCCAAAGCACAACTTGAGCATACATATTGAACACATGAAATAAAGGCATGGCGTCAGAGTGACATCCACAAACTTTGGTTTTAGTTTTCTATGTGATTTGTTCAAATTATTTAAACTTCTTGTGTCCAACTTGCTTTTTCTCTAAAGGTGATAATCATATCTGTTTTGGAAGATGCCTGTGAGGATTAAGCATGATAATGAATATCAAAGAATCATTATGAGGTGGATATTGTATTGTCTTCTATGCTAGAAAATTAATTTTCAAAGGTCTCATTTCAGCATGATTTAAAGCCATAATATTAATATAGCAATGAGCTAAGGCATAGTTCTTTTTCTTTTTTTGATGAGTTTAAAGGTCCTTCCTATTTAAAAAAAATACCCAGAGGAAAAAGAATTCAAAACAACCTTGTCCCGTGGTGCCATCTTTCTCGTAAGTACGATTGCACAATTGTTGGTTGGCTGTGTTGCATTTGGCTTAAAGAAAAAAAAAAAGCACTAAAAATGCAACGTGTCAGAACAAACATTCTTAGCAAACAAATTGCATTTACAGTTCTCAGAAGCCCATGTGGGTAACATCACAATGTAAGTGTTTATAGAATAAATATTTATCTCAGTCTTGCTTTTTTAAATTTAAGTTTACACATACATGCACACACACACACACACACACACACACACACACACATGATTTAAGCTAGGAAAGATAAATAAAATAACAAACTTCTTCCCCTGGGTCGCAGAACAGAGGTGATCATTGACTTGGCATCTATTTGCAAATTCATATTAGGAAGAATGTTTGACTTTTATGTAGAGTTTTGATTGGTTGAAAGTTTAGTATTGAAACACTGAATAATCACTTTTCTTTCCTTTTCTTTCTTTTTTTTCTGAGACAGACTTTCTCTGTGTAGCTCTGGCTGTCCTGGAACTCACTCTGTAAACCAGGCTGTTACTGAACTCAGAGATCTGCCTGCCTCTGCCTCCCAAGTGCTGGGATTAAAGGAATATGCCACCATGCCTGGCTGAAGATTACGTTTTCAATGGATATTTATTACTTCAGTTAATATATGTGTTTAGATAAATATTATAAGAATAATCTATCTTATTAAGAAATAAATATTAAGAAAATTTACAAAACCCTTATAAATAAGATTTTAAAAAATTTTCAATAAATGCCTTCTCCCTTACATCATGGTTCCTGTTATAGTTAAGGAATCTGGTAAGGGGTGCCTGAGTGTACACTGAGTTTCAAAGCTTAGTAAACTGTGAATGAGGAACATGTATAATCCTTATTCTGTGAGTAGCACCATACAACTTCTTGGAATTCCTCCAATTTTGTATTTCTCCAGGTGATTTTTCCTTTGAAATGGACTGGAGACACATGCTGGAAAAGTCATGATAAAGAACAACAGGTAAGTAATGACTACCCAGAGGAGAGTCAGCTTCTCCCAGGCATGAGCCCCTAGAACAGACTGGCCAGTCCTGAAACCATATACACACAAACAACAGCTTGTATTTGTATATTTCTTTATATGCATATATATAGTTACAAATATATGTATAAATTGTTACACATATGTAACAATAATGTTTAAAGAAAAAGAGGCTCTCACATTGAGAGTAGGGAGGCATGGGAAGGGCTGGAGGGAGGGTAACTGGAAAACTGGCAGAAAGAAGAGAGGGCAAGTAATGCAACTCTATTTCAACTAAAATACATTAAAATTATCAACTTTAAAAATAAATAGTTAAGTAAACACCCGATGCAGAAAAAGAAGTCTAAAATGCCAGATTAGAATAACTTTAACTGTCTGAGCTACAATATCTTGGACTTCAAAATTCCCTCTATTCTTATTTTAGATGTGATCTCTATTCTTATCTTCAATGTGGTCAAAGGGAATAAATAAATACTAAGTAGCTCCTGGAAGGCATATCTGAGAGTCTTCACAGAGGTCATTCCCAGGAGGAGAGTTCAAGGTGGAGGACTTCGTAAGGGTTTCCAAACTGTGGATCAGTGAAAACTGTTGGAAACTTTCTTCTTTTTCTCCCCCCCCCTTCTATATAACACACACGTTTCTAAATAGCACAGGCGATATTACATCAAACCACACATAAGACTTCCACTAAAGCACTGACACAAATGAAAAGAACGGGTATGGTATGAAAAGGCAGAGTCAGTGCATGGTACATATGAGCAGAGTAACCAAGAAGGACTCTGGGATATTTTAGTTATATCTTAGGTCAATGAGGGTGAACACTAAGACAGCAGAACAAGGAAGTGAAGTTGTCCAGTGGGGCAGAACAGCAATGCACCTTAGAGGCATGGGACAAAAGTTTGGAAATGAGACAATATCAACTATCAGTATATCTATATCTATGTATCTATATATGTATGTGTGTATGATTGAAGCCATGTGGAAGGAGTTGTTTAAAAAATTAAAAAGCAATATTGAGGGAGACAATCACTGATTAACACTAAGGTGGATGGAGAGATGGCTGAGTTGTTAAGAGCACTGGCTGCTCCTCCAGAGGACCCAGGTTTATTTTCCAGCACTCACATGACAGCTCACACCTGCCTTGAACTCCAGCTCTGGGGGCTGTGTCTCCCTCTTCTGGTCTTTGTGGGTGCTTGTCATGGATGTGCTCCATAAAGATACATGCATGCAAAAAATTCGTACCAATAAAAACAACAAAAAAACCACAAAACAAACAATAAAACATGAGCGCGAGTGGGATCCATGAGAAAAGGAAGACAATTTGCAGCTAGAAAGAATGAAAATAACAGAAATGGATAGAACACAAAACCAAGTGAGACAACTTTAAAATTTATGAGATGGCAGAGCCAAATGTTGCAAAAAAAAAAATCAAATAAGAACTAAGCACCTATTAGATTTTAAAACTGAGACTATTTGCTGTGGTTTATAAAGATAATTTCAATGTAGGAATTACGTAACATTAAGGTCATTGTGTGATGAACACCTTTTAGTTTTATGGACAGAAAAACAGTAAAAAAATCATTAAATCTGCATTCTTGAATCAAGGGTAATTGTTGGAAGCTGGCCTCAAACCTTTGCTTACCCAATGCCATGACTCATGCTCTTCTACTTCTTCAAACTGAATATGAAAATCTGGTTTCACTGAGATACTAATTTATTTGTAATATTGACTACAGTTTTGATAAAACAATAATATAAAGTTTGGGGCTGGCGAGATGGCTTAGTGGGTAAAATGTTTATGATGTAACCACAAGGACCTGTGTTTGGATCCTGGGCACTCTGCAATTCTTGGAGGCACAGTCAGTAGATGCTAGGGTCTTGTTGATCATTTATTCTAATGGAAACAGTGAGTTCCAAGTTTAGTGAGGAAAGTTTGTTTCAAAAACAAAAACAAAAAGTAAACAACCGGAGAGGAAGGGGAAGAGAGCTTGATGTCAAACTCTAGCCCCTACTATACATATGCACGGGCATGCCCACACATTGAACACACACACACACACACACACACACACACACACACACACACACACACAAAGAGAGGGAGAGAGAGAGAGAGAGAAAGAGGAGAGAGAGAGGGAGAAAGAGGAGAGAGAGAGAGAAAGAGGAGAGAGAGAGAAAGAGGAGAGAGGGAGAAAGAGGAGAGAGAGAGAGAGAAAGGAGAGAGAGAAAGAGGAGAAAGAGAAAGAGGAGAGAGAGAGACAGAGAGAGAGAGACAGAGAGAGACAGAGAGAGACAGAGAGAGACAGAGAGAGACAGAGAGAGACCACACGGCTTATTGACACCACATCATGGAATGTTTACTATGAGGGATGACGTAGAGATGTGGCAGAACATATTCTATAAATTCTCTTTGTTCAACTCCCTACCTATTTTCATCTCGCTCTCTTCTCTCTTAGCTAGCTAGCTTTCTGTTACTCTGACAAATACCGGGGAGCAAAGGTTTGTTATATAGTTCACAATATTGAAGGTTTCAGTTGATTGTTCACTGACCACATGACTTCTGGACCCACAGAAAGGCAGTAGAACATGGTAAAAGTATATACTAGAGTGTCTTTCTTGGTCAAAGACAGGAAAGCTAAAAAGAAAGAGAACAGGGCCAAGGGAACCGCAGTTCCCTTCAAGGACATGCCTCATGCTTTGAAGACCTTCTCACTTACCTCATTAAGGAGTTCTGATGTTTCCAGTTCCCCGAAACACTGCCATCCTGGACTAAACTTTAGCAGATAAGCCCTTGAGGTACAGTCAAGGTTCACACTACAGCATCATCCCTCCTTATTCATTCTTCAGCTGATTGCTTTGATAATACTGTCAACCAGGAGTGAAGCTTTGTGACCATCAATGGGTATATCAGAGTTATATGTTACAAAATGAGTTTCTTCTATTTTCAGAACTACAGGTAGTATCAATCTTCTAAAATAATGCCTCCTTAAAAATATAATCTTTAAGTTGACTGATAGACCTTTTTCTGTCTTATAAAGCTTAATTGGCAAGATCAAACATGACAAGAATTAAATAGTCACCTTCACATTTACCAGATGTCTTATTAGCAACACAAGATTCTAGGTTTCATGCCAAAAGAGCCAAAGCTGAGGCAAATACTTTAAAGAGACACATCCTATGGTTCTTCTCTAGTAATCATAGATGTCTGCATTCCCAAAATTCTGTTAGAGAGCAGTATCAGAATAAGCTTTTTGGTAAAGTAAATGAAAGGCATATATCAACCTGAAGACGCATTCGCTCTAGTGTGTCAAAGCACCTGTGAGTCTCATGTAGGAAATTCAGCTGGCTTTCATTTTACACAGTGGAATTTTGTTTTAAATGAAGGAAAGCAATTGGCACCATTTGAACACATTGTTCATTAATGTTTATTATTTTTATATGAAAAAGTCTTCTTTGTATCTCTTGACTTTCTAACCTAGGGTTTCTGCTATGATAATTTCATTTACATGTTTTATTTTTAGCATTAAATGATATCCTTATTTGGGACCTCATTTTAGGGGACACACCATAAAAAATAAATATAGAGAGTCTAGAGTATTACACAAAGGCTTTAATACCATCCTATTTCAGTTGAAAGTTTTGATAGCACAATCTGTGTTTATCCACTTTGCATTACTATAAAAATTCTGTTGAAGTTACACATTGTCAGAAATTCCTTAGTAAAAGAAAAAGAATTTCTTTTGTAATTTTTGTTTGAAGTTTATGCTATAGTGATGAGTTGAGAAATGACTTTTATGCAAAATAATTTCTTATTTTTGCTTTTTATTTTTTTGAGACAGGGTTGTGCAGGCCAATCTTGTCTCATGTTTACCGTGTAGCCAAAGATGGCCTTGGACACCTGATCCTCTTGTTTCTGCCTCTTAAATGCTGAGATTAAATGAATGTACCAACACTCCCATAATGTAAAGCAACTTTTAAAAATATTTCTACCTGGGCTGCAAATATGGCTCATTCGTTAAGAGCATTGGCCATTCTTCCAGAGGACCTAGGTTCAATTGCCAGCACCTGCAAAGTGGTCAAAACCATCTGTAACTTCAGTTACAAGGGATCTGACATTTATTTTTCTGACCTCCATGGGCACTAGGCATGTACATGGTGTACAGACATACATGTATGAAAAATACCCGTAACACAAACAATAATATAATAATAATTAAGAAACTAAAATTCTTCCATCTCATATGAATGAATATATTATACACATTTGCATGCCCAATTTTATAAACATTAAAGGCCACCTTATTACTTAAATTGCATTAAAATAGGACACCAATTCATAGTCTCCTTTTCAAATTGAGATGAAATGGATAGTCAGAGACATTTGACATCAACCTGTAATACCTTTGCTATTTTTAAGTTGTCTATATGGAGTTTCATATAAAATAAAAATAGAAAATGTAGCTGCTATTCACCAATTACATGTAACAAGAGATAGGATTACAGAATATGTTTTGCATTTTACAAGATACTAGCTAGGGCCTGACATAGTAGGAGTGCCCTTATAATTCCAGCACTCAGGAGGTAGAGGCAGGAAGATCTGGAGTTCAAAATCATCCTTGACTACATAGTAAGTTCAAGGCCAGCCTGGGTTACATAAGACACTGCCTAGGGGAAAAAGGAAAAACAACAATAAAAACGACACATCACACAAACCAAAAGCTCAAACAGATACTAGTCAGTAATGTACACTGCTACCTAGGAAACCTTAGGAAAACAAAACAGTTCATAAAAGTAAAAACTAAGCTGATTCTCATTTCTAAAGCAAGGGTACTTCTTAGCAATATTTATATGCTTTGTTTCATTATTTTCATGAACACTTTCATTTATCTTATTCTATTTTTTCATTATTACGGTCCTAGGGATTGAATTCCTAGACAAATTGTCTACCATTGAACTAGAGCTCCACCCCTTAAATTAGCCTATTCTAATAACTTATCCAGAAGTTCTCAGTGCTTTTTATTATAACATCGAATCTCTGACTTGAGATATAAATTTCTCTATGGCCATATCACCCTGAACATGCCTAATCTCAGAAGCTAAGCAGGGTCGGCCTGGTTAGTACTTGGATGGGAGACATAAATTTCTAATAAATATTTTTTTCAGAATCTCGTATGATAAAAGACAGTGTTACAACACCTGAATTTCTTCAGGTTTATGAGAGATACCTCAGCAATTAAGAGAACTTGCTATTCCTACAGAGGACCGAGGTTGTAGCCCCAGCACCCCTACCAGGGCTGAAAATTATGTGTAACTCTGGATCCGGTAGACTCAATGGCATTTTCTGGACACATGTAGTCATACACATACGTCTAAGTAAGAATATGTTAAAACAAACAAGTAAATATAAAAATTCTAATTTATCTACAATGGCAATGGAAGTAGGAATCTTGTATACTGACTTTACGTTATTTGTTCCTGAATTTAAAAAAAATCAATTTTTAAAATTTTAGGAGTATGAATATTCATTCTGCCTACATGTGTGTAAGTGCATCCATGCATGCATTATTTTAAACCATAAATAGGCTATTTTTTTCATATGTGGGGAAATTACATGAAACTGTTTCTTGAAATTAGAATAGCTGTTGTTTTTTGAGACAATACCATTAGTTACAGATAGACACAGATGTGTGCTCACATCTATACGCTCAGTTTGGGAGACATTAAGCTTCATATTATTACTTAAACTGTATTAAATCAGGGTGGTAGCTCTTTTTCTGTTAAGTTAAATACATGTTCTATAATTTTATGATACTGAGTGTGTTTATCCATTGAACAAATACAATCTGATGACTTACTCTGACACAAGTTGACTTGTAGAACATAAATGCTCCATGCTCTTGAGGCTTCAAGGCTCATGCTTAGTGTAGCTATCAAGACTACTTGGTGCATATGCTAAGTAAAAGAAAAAGAAAAAATAATAACACAAAAGAAGCAAAGCTGAATGAAATGGCAGTGGATTACAAAACCCTCTGGTTAACTGGTTGAGGACAAAGGTTGTTAGTTCCATTGGCCACACCTCTCTGAAAAGAACCCAGAGGGTCAAGTTGACCTCCTACTGGCCACAGGGTGACTACCAAGGTTCAGTGGTTTGTACATGATGTGCAGCCAGACTTTTGGACATTGGTCTGATATTTGTAGTTACAGTCTTGGATTAATTTAAGGAATCACAAAATGGGCCATGCCATGCCACAGAACAATCCCAGTTTTATTTTATCATATTTAATAAGAGACAGTCCATGTTTCAAACGAATTCCTTAAAGTTCACACTGCGTTAAAAAAAAGTGTGAAAATTGTTATCTGTGAATCGTTGTGCTGAATTCAGAACTGGAGACAGAAAGTAAATATGATCATTGATTGTGATGAATTTTGTAAAAGAAAGGAATGGGTAATGTGGTGGGTACCATTTGGGCCTGGAGCAGGGGGAGGAATGAAGCGAAACAGTGTCTTTCTAAGGAGGCAAAACAGGAAGTGAGAGCCATAGAAGAAATCACTGAAAGAACCACCTGCAAGCCTCCTACGTAAAGGGAACAGAAAGTGTAGAGGAATGAGGAGAGAGGAAGAACGTAGCTACAGAAAGGGAACGTGTCAGCTCTCGTGGGAAGCATTTTTCTAAATTAGACTACTCATGTCTCACAGTGTCTTGCTATTGAACAGGACAGCCAAGGGCACTGTGCAATTGGACCCTCCCCAGTTCAGCCCCTCTAAACAGTAGGATTTCCCACTCACTGTTCATGTCTGTCCCAAGCTGACTTGGTGCTCTATCCTCGGCACTCCAGGTCCTCTGCTGACAGAGCAGTTTTGGTGACGGAGTAAACCCAGAAAGCATGGCAAAGTGCGTGCAGGCTCTTAAAGCTCCACACACGGTACGTCACTGAAACTCACATTTCATTGGGCAAAGCGCTTACCTACCTTACGTCATCATGGAAGCATAATTCTCCAGTGAGTCTGGAAGGGCGTAGACCTGGACACCCTGGCCAACCGGAGCAACTAGAAATTTGTTTGTAGCAGGTTGGTATGCTGTGGTGGTGGTGGTGGTGGTGGTGGTGGTGGTGGTGGTGGTGGTGGTGTGTGTGTGTGTGTGTGTGTGTGTGTGTGTGTGTGTGTATTTAAGCGTTTGTCTCCAGAGAGAAAGTCCATTATTATTTTAATCCAATTCTCAAGAGACCTGCGATGACAATTAACAACTGCTGAACCAGTTGAGAACTGTCATGTAAACATAATTATTTTTACAAGGCAATTTGCAGTCTTGAGTAAGAAACTATAGAGATTCAAGAGCTGTGATTTTCTTTGTGTCGAGTGGTGATAAGTCAAAAGTTGAGGAAATGAGTTGACCATTTAAGCAGTGGCTTAAAAATACCCAAGTCTGAGGGAAGTGACTAGTGTAAGGAGATCCCAGAGGACACCTGGGGGAGATGGTGGACAATACTCTAGAGAAGTTGTATCTTGAGCACTGAAGGAGGTAACTCTTCCCTGCCTTAGGAGGAAGGAATGGAGAACCAGGTACCCTCTTGGTTCACAGACAGAGGGGAAGGGCAATGCTTCTGCTTTGTCTGTGGTGTATGAGCAAGGTGTTAGTCTAGATAAGGTGATTGCACTGCATTTCAGTAGTGGAGTAGTCACGGGTGAAATGTGAGATGGAGCTCACTGGGAGAAGACAATAGGGCTTCCCACAGCACAGGGGCTAAGCTGGTGTCGGAGAACATAGATGCATCAGAGGGCCAGTAAGTGGGATTCTGTGATTTCCCTCTATCCATGGAAACAGGAGCTGTGACAGTTACTGTTTGGATCGATGGAGGCCAGGGATTGGCAGGGCAGGTGCAACAACATGTTCTACACATACTCTGAAGTTCAGGATTTTGCATGTGTATTAGACTTTTAGCATTGTGAGAAAACCAAACACAAACGAAGAGAAAGAGCTGCTCAATAATGGTACAGAGAAATTGCATCTGACGATAACCTAGAGTTGTCTTTCATGAACGACAGGCTTTGTTCCTTGTAAACTTGCCTTGAGCAAATGATTGATGTAGACAGCATAACTGTGGACAGGGATGGGAGCCTTAACTTATTTCTTACTGCTTAAGTAAAATTAATCATGCTTCAGCCACATGAGATTTTATATGCTATGAATACTCCCCTTGTTCACTAGTAAAAATCTGGCAGAAGAAAAGTAAAAGAAGAAAAAGAGAGAAAGAAAACTCTAAAAATATAATTACATGCTCAGACACAGAATTGCTTAGCTAGGCATCTTGCTATTAATTAGTATGCCATAAATCTTGTTGCTGTTACTGATGCTAAGACACAGTATTTAGAAGAACCATTAATGAAGACAAAAGAAGATCTGGGATGGCCCAGCTCCAGTACAGACTCCAGGCTGAACTAACATTACATTGCATTTCTCTTTCCTTACTGCCTGCCAAATCCCCAACTGACCCAACCCTCCACCCCATTTCGGCAGGATTACATCACAGGCATTTGACACAAACGATATCGCTCTTTATAAAGGCCACATATGCATGCTGAAGGATGCAGGCTCTGAGAGCAACTCTGCTTTCTTGAAATCTTTCATTTCATTTTCTGTTTCCTCTGAAAGGAGGCCTGACCTTCTTGGCATCTCTTGCTGACTGACAGGTGTGGCGAGCAAGCCACACCTGATCATTTGGAATTGTATTTGAGGCTGAAGTTAAATGTAACTTTACATCCTTCCTTAACGGGAGGAACCGAGCAGGAGGCAAAGAAGTTCAACTTGTAAACCGAGACTGTTGCTGCGAATGGCTTTCCCCCAGAAGACCCTCTTTCTGATTCTCAGTTGTTGATAACTAGCAGGTTTTTATCTCCAGGAACTAAGATAGTTTTTTTTCCTCACTTCTGGCCTGCCAACTTATAGACTTGTCTTCAGCTGAGGCAAGGCTGCCAGATTGAATACATGGAGAACCTACTCAACTCTATTTATTTTAGAGTATGATAATTTGAGGGAAAATTTAAATTGTCAGTTTTCCATTACACCCTGCAGCTCCCAGTGCTGGCTATCTTATCAGACCTAAAAACATACCTCGGTGGGAAATTGTGTAAACAGATGGAGAAGCCAAGAAGAGAGAGGGCTGATTCTTGCCAGGGGGCCACACAGTCTGCTCAGGACAGAGCCAGACATTTCATATCCTGATGGATCGGTCCTCTTCCTTTCTAGCTGCCTACAGTATGTGGATCGTGAAGTCCCACAGCAAACACTGAGCAGAGGTTTGAGCATACAAGAGTCAAGCGCCATAGTCTTGGCAGGTCCATGTACTGATCGCGGTTGGGTAGATTCAGAGGCCCAGGGACTCTGAGGGCAAGTTGTGATGCTGTGCCCAGTGTCTGGCATATACTCAGTAACTCAATCTACACTTAATAAGATATGAGTGAGAAATGTTGCTAGGCAATATCATTTCTCTGCTCAAAATACTGCACCATTGAAGCCCTGACAGACTGGTGCTTGTTGCTGGTGTGATGGTATTCCCCTTGCTTTCTTGTCTACTCTTATGCCACATGCCTATCTCAGCCTCCTTTCTGGTCCCTAGGGGGTGGGTAGGTCCCTTACACTGCCTTTCTTTATATTCCTGGACTCACACTCTACATACCTAAGGGACCACCCCCTTCCTTGTTATAAGACAATATCCAGCTGTCCTCCTTCATGAAGTCCTAGTCCCACTGTCCCTTTCAAAATTGAAATCTTCTTTCTGCCCTCTGCTCGCCTACACTCTTCATCTATCCTAGCCTGCACTATTTCTCCCGTGACATTTGGCATCGTCCAACTCTTAGTGTTTAACACTGATGTTTTACTGTTCGTCTCCACTTTGGTTGCTTGCAAGCCTCTAAGGGAGATGATTCTTGTGGCTCTTGTTCTTTGATTCCTCTAACATTTCCTCCCATATCAGACACTTCCAAAAATACTTTGTAAGTGACTGCTGAATGAGTATGAATTGAGCTGAGTTGATGAAGCAAATGAAAGAGCAGAAGAGATAAACCTTTAAAGCTAGGCATGAGGGTGAATGGAGCATCAGTTATGGTACATTCACAGGCAAACTTGGGCTTTCATCAGAAACCTTGTCAATTAATGATGAACTTGGCCGACATCTAGAGTCATAACTGTCAAGCTGACCTGATAACTGTGTGGCTCGGCCTCTGGTGAATTGAGACAAAGAACTCAGTGTGTGGTTTGGTGTTTTCCCACTTGAACTGTGCGCCTCCTCCATTAGACGTGCTTGTTAAGTAATCTGGTTGCCGAGCCCTGTGCACTTCCTAATGGTTACTAAAGAGTAGATCAACTGCTGATTTGAATGCATGCCAAAGTTCCAGAATGAGTAGTGTGTATGAACCCCCCTGAAAAGATGGGGGTAGAGTAGAACAGGATTTTCCCTGCTCTGGTGCCAAGGTTTCATAGGAAGTTTGTAAGAAAGTGCTCCATTAGTTAATTAAAGTAACCCTGAGTAAGATTGTTTGGGTAACAGTAATTTCCAGAACCTTTAAAAGTCTGATGTCATTCTGAGTTCCCAGGAGGGGAGTGCTGTAGGCAGGGTCTCAAACATTCTACTGCAGGTGGCTTCTCAGACCCATCTTACTTCTGATAAAGGAGTTCTTTGTTTTGTTTTGTCTTAAAAGAAAAGCCTGTAATAGCGAATCCTTATTTTAGCTCCCTGCAATTCTGTTTTCTCTCTTATTAACTTCCTTTTAGCTAAAAATATAACTAAGACCTCCACATTGCCTAGGAGAAAAAATATAAAATAGTATTCCTGTGTGTTGTAATTCCTGGTGAGCATCACTGTAAATGGGAAAGGTTTCTTGTATGAGTGGGGTGTATGTGAGTGTGTGAGTGTGTGTGTGTGTGTGTGTGTGTGTGTGCATGCAATCAAGAATAGTACACAAAGAAGCTATGAATAGTGCACCTGAACAAGGCTGCTTGCTAAAGCAAAACTGGCGGGCTTGCGAGGATTCTATCTTCTGTATGAAGCCTTGTGAATTAGCGGGATGCACACACATAAATATTTCACATGGTGGAGGCACTCATGCTCCCTGATTCTCCCATATTGATTACCACTAATCTATCCCTTATGTCGCTTTCCATTCCTGTGGAAATAAGATAGGTATGTGCCTAGAATAAATAGCCTTCTCCCCATTTGGAAACCGTGCAGGGTCTAGAGCACATTACATCCTTCCGTATAATGGAAGGACCCACACGCTGGCAATTGCTGTCTGCAGATGTAATGAACCAAGTGGGAGGTAATGAGAAGTGACTGTCACGCCATCTCAGGGGCCTGGTTTCTCCTGCTGCACAATTACACTGTGACCCCAGAGAAACCAAGAAGAGGGGAACATTCTTTCCTTCTCTAATGATCTTAAAATCAGCTTTGGCTTAGGGTGTGCGTGTGGAGGGATGCAGGCTGCAGCATCCCTCATTTGGCAGTCTGGAGGATGTCCAGGGAATGTATGCCTGCAACATAGCATGCAGCTGTCCAGACACGCCTGTCCCTCCCTCAGCACTGACTTGACCTCTAGATAGAAAGATGCCAGCAAGTACAGGCCTTTCCTACTTTCCCTGGTGTGTCTTTGGGGTGAGAACTGCTACTTCTACTATAAGTGGAGAATGTACAAGGGAAGGAATTGTTCAGAGCTGCACTTATGCCCCAGGCATATGTGTTTTGGCTTTAAAGGGTCAGGAAAGCCTTAAAGAAGAACCATGGTGACAGCAGCTGTGGGTACCATGTACCCTAATCCCATCTCTGAGCTTCATGAAGGAAGAACCTTTATTATGAAACCTCTGGCTGGTGCTTGGAGAGGCAGGTGGCAAGGTTGAGGGAAAAGGTGTATGTGTGTGTGGGGGGGGTACCTGCTGAGTCAACTTCTCCAGAGGGAGTGTGCGAAGAAAGTGCAAAAAGGTAGAAGAAAGCTTTTAAAATTCCTTTCATTGTCTTCATCCTGCTCAGGCCTGCCCACACTCTAGGGGAAGCCTGCCAACTGCTCACCGAACAGTGAAT